CCCGCGCCGCCCGGCCGGCGCGTCATGCGATCGGTGGGGATGGTAGGCCGTCCTGCCGGCAGCAGTACATGAGCAGTAGGCTGGTCGGACGCTTGTATTCGCCTATCTTTAAACGTTAATATCTCGTTAAATATTGCGTCAACTGCAAAATGGTACAAAACTATTTTGTTCCCCTTGATCCAATGTACGTCCCCATTGTGTTTCGATCCGTTTTTTTGAGACACCCTGTATAGAGGTTGTTTCAAGACTCGCGAGACAAACTGAGAACGTAATGTCTCAATAAGGCTGCGTTTGGAACCGTTACTCGCATGCCCCTGCATATCTTATTGTTTAACATAGGCAACAAGGATAAAATATATGGAGGCATTCGGGTAACGTTTTCAAACATATAACCTAAATCAATTTTGATCAAAAAACCTTCGACGCATGTCCTTTGTTTAGACCTCTCACGAGATAAGCAGCATTGCACGTGACATCTGATAATACTATTCCGTGATTTATTTTTTTGCATTTTTTTGTGAACTAATATTGTCAGATGTTACATTCAATGTTTCAGCATAACCAGTTGACTATCTCATAGATGGTTCGAACAATGCATAGCTCCTTCAAGATGCATTGGAAAATAGTTTCTTGACAAAAGTTGATTATAGACTTGATTATAATATGAACAATTGTCAATACCTTAATAAATATCAATTTTAAGACATCTGTTTATAAACTACTTTGTATTTATCTAAATAAATACTTTAAATCCTGAAAGCTTTTAATTCTTTTTAAATACCATATATGTAGAATATTTCTTACCGTATGTCATTATAGTACAATTTTGTCCAGCTAAAAAATCAATCATTAACTGTTGTACAGTTTGCTCAAATAACTCCAATTGAGTAGTCTCTGGCCCAAATGTTTGTGAAAAGGTAAATCTCCGGCATACAATCTCACTTTTGGACTGTTTGATACTTCCATTATTATCTAGTATCGGGACTTTTGTAAGCAACGTCGTAGAATTTGCGATTTTGTATGCTTCTTGCTGTTCTTCTGTTAACTTCAGTTTCTTTGGGAATGGTTTAAGTCTAAGATATACTTTAATAGTTTGTAATGTTTGTGACTCTGAACGTTCAGATGTATTTTTATTGGTAGAGTTATCTTCCTCTACTTCATATAAAGAAAGCAAGTTCTTTTTTGCATCCTTTGAAGGAAAAGGTCTTTGGCTGTATGCCAAAATACTTGGATCTCTGCCAAATAGATACGACATTTCTTCCTCTGGATTTTGTGATGGATGAATTGAATCCAGTGTATTCTCCATCTGTATTAATTTAACAAGATGTATAAATATATGTTATAGTACATATAATGTATTACGTATAATTATATATATTATTTCATAATTATACATTTTATATACATATATATCGCAGTTAATGCATAAATTTTAATAAATGTCATTGTATTTATGTAAGATTTCAGCAAAAGTATCAACTAAATGTAAAATGTCTGTTATTCATAATAAGTGTATTCATTTATGATACATCCTATCTTCCATAGGAGTCTGTCTAATTTTTTCAGTTTTTATCGTTTTTAGTATATTATAACTTATCCATTTAATAAAGCAAAGATATAATAAAATATATATGTGGCTACAGAGCATGTAGTCCTAATATACGATATACACATTTACTACCAGAAGTGTTCACTGAAATTGAGGCATCTTTTTTTATTAAATTAGACGTAACAATATATACATTTGCTAATAAAACTTCATAGCTTGAGAATACATTTACTTATTAAATTAATATGTATATACATTGATTATTAAGGGTATGTATTTAATGAATTAATACTTTGTCTGTGACATATGCAGACAATCTCAAGGGTCATAATTTCATAAATTTCTTCAATTTAACAATTCTGACAATATAATTTATACAAATATAAATAATACTGTAAAATATTAGAAAATTTAAGAATATAAAGTATTTTAGACTGTTATTTATACACATTATACACACGCATGTACAAAATCAGTTCTAAAATCAATATAAATTTTATTATTACATACGTTTTTTAAAACATATTTCCATGCTTGGAAATAAATAAAATATGAGTTTCAATAAACAATAATAGAAGGAACATATCACATGCTTACTATCATTTTATAAAAACACGAATTGATCTATTATAACTTACGCGTACAAAATACATAATAATTCAATATTGTTACAAAAATTTGCGTATAACAAATAATTTTCAAGTTTAATTTAGTTTAAAGTAAATTGTTTACAAACTACCTTCGTTCAAAAACATACCTTGTTAGTTCACATAAAAAAATCTTCTCTTCGTTAAAAGGGTACACGTGTGTATCACTGAGTAGGCAACCAAGCGATTAACATAGAGTAGATAGATACAAAATACTGAAATAAAATATTACTTTCGCATACTTTCTCCAACTTGCTCGTACTGTATACTCGCGTTGCGAAAAACGGTCATTTAATTCTTGAATTTTGTTTGAAATAGCGTTGCCAACTATAAATTCGGAACTTCGTTAGATACTTTACTAAAAAAACTAGACAGCAACAGGCCATTGGCTTAGTTTACATTAGAGTTTACTACTCTGGGGTGCGTTCCAAAATTCACTCCGAGTAACAGAGTTTAACTCTACGCCGTTCCAAAACGCGAGGTAACTGACCATATGGGCGGAGCCTATTCGTTCCAAAAGTATGAGTAAATCTACCTCGGAGTCAACTCTATGAACCCTGCTTCCGAGGTGGGTTGAAAGAGTAAGTGCGGCAAACGAAATTTGAATATTGAGATGATGCAACACACGAAGCGAGACGCACACGTCCGTCCCGTTCGAGCGGTCTCTAAAGTAATGACTTCATTTCCTTAAAATGGCTCTAAAATTAATCAAAGATGTGCATATGTTAATAATCAATGATAATGGAACACCGTTACAAGAAAATAATTCATTGTGGGTGATGGACACGAGAGGTAAGTAGAAAATGTGATTCGAAAGCTTGTATCAAGATTAGATGTATGCATGTACATACATATATAGTTTATCTGAGTTTATCTCTTTCTAAATAAAATATTAAATATAATATTATATGTATATATAATATTACCTTACCTTTTCACGTTCCAAATTTGTCAACTCGAGTAACGTACTCTGACTTACTCTTTCCGCCACTACTCCGGGTTCTTTAGAGTTACTCGGAGTGAATTTTGGAACGCACCCCTGGCTGTCGTCTACTTGACGCTACAATTCGTATGTATGTACTATGTAGTACGTATGTACGTGACCGGACAAAACCTCCTGTTGTAACAATTATTATTTTAAATCGTTTGTATTTCGTATGAAGAGTTTTGAAGTGCAAATAAAAAGGTTTATGAATCATTCTATTAATTACAATTAATCATTCTTTTTTGGACCATGTACTTGACGGAAATAATTAACCGGATCTAAATTCAACAAAGTTTATACATAGAATCGTTTGTATTTCATATGAAAAGTTATAAAGTACCATTAAAAACATTTATGAGTCATCCAGACATTTTAAATTAAATATTAAAATATCATGTATTTGACCGAAATATAGATACAGGTTCTACGGTCACGGAAATTTCGTTAGACCCGTTCTACAATAAGTCGGATGACGGAGTTGGGTGTCGTGCGCATGCGCGCTGGAGTGTCGGCTGTCGATTCAAGTTGTCGCGAATCGGCTGTCGGTGTCGGAATGGAAGGTGGTCAATTCCCATTTTTTTCCGTTTACGACAACGACTAGATGAAACATAATCTTTTTTGACGGATACATCTATGGCTATTTAAATATTTACTACTAGTACTGTTAAATAAGATTTAGATATTTTATCATGAAGCGTGTGATGCATCATTTGTCTTTATTGTTTACCAATTAATAAAGAAGGATGAAACGATACATCATGCGCTTCATGCGTAACTCGGAATGCACCCAAAGAAGTGTGAGGGTGGAGTCCCATGAGGTGTATTTATCGCGTATCGCATAACCGCGTAACCAATCAGAAGCGATCTGCTGTTATAGTTTCGCGTTTTACTGATTATTGAT